TGTGTATAGGTTATGGTTCGAGGGAGGGATTGGACTTTACATGGGCCAGAAGCGGAATGGCCGCGAGTGGCCGCCAATGGTTGAGAAAAGGTGTTTCAGACAGCTCTGTGGGAGTGGCCACACTGCTGTCTGAGAACCAGCTGTATGAGTCGCCGCTGGTGGTAAAGTTAAGATCAACTGTGCAATCTGTCAAACTTACACGCCACATCAAATATAAATACATACATATCCCCAATGTATGATGGAATCTATATCAGAAACAAGGACATCAGGAAAAACTGTTGTGGTATAGCAGCATCACCGCCAACATAGATGCCTTGGAACTTTCAATCCAAGGCATCATCGGATGGAAACCCTCGGACAGATCTTGTCTGAGGATTTGATCCCAGGTATTTTTTGGCGCTAAAGGATACCTCAGATCAAAACCTCGGAAACATTCTGTCCGAGGCTTTGGGTCCGATGATACCTCGGATTTTTTAATCCAAGGCATCTTTGTTGGCTGTGCATGTTTGTGGCCTTGGCATTTGTTGGGATTCCACCCGCTGAAAGGCTACCTTTGTGGGGTCAATTCCCTCTCTTCTTGGCATTTATTTCTCAACCTTACAAGTCTTTTTTTTTGCTTTGTGCTGTAAAACAAAAACTATCACAATGAGATAGACACACTGGTGTTCTTTGTCTGTGTTGGGTCTATTGGTCAATATTGATCTTCACAAAAAAAACGGAGGAAACAAAAGGCAGGAACCAGTCAAACACCAACGTCTTTCAAACCATGATCTTCAGCCTGAGGCTTCAAACCAATTGGACACCGGGACTTGGAGAATGGTCACCAATTATAAGACTATAGATTGTTTTTTGGAGTAAGCATCTGTGATGTGGCGTGTAAGTTTGACAGATTGCACAGTTGATCTTAACTTTACTGCCGGGCGCACGGACCATCACTTGATTTTGAAAAATTCTTGATTTCATCCTTTATGGAAGCTATGGTACTTTCCAGCATCTTGAGCTATTCAAATTCCCCCTGTTGGCTGAAGAAGAACCTCAATTGTCCCCATCTCGTTTTTCAAACAAGGATGTCAACAATAATCTTCCAGTGATTTCACATCCTTACACAGCTATCAAATCTATTGGGCAGCCAGAATTGCCTTCTGGATCAAGGGGATCAAACAAGACATCGAATATTCATACCTCAAGTCAATCTCAGTCAAGAATAAAGCCAACACACCCCCAGACTTCTGATTGCCCTGTCAATCACATCTTGCCCGCTTTGCTGCATCAATCTGCACCGGGATCTGAGGGAGCAGTGAAAGACTTTTGTCCAATGTGCTTACCACAAGCGCAATACAATCTAGCTTTCCAGCAGGAGCCAAAACACAAGTCTTGTGATTGTATGGGCTCCCTTCCAGTATCACCTGTGGGTTATTCTTCAAATGTTGGTTCAGTACAACACTCGATGATTCAAAGACCTGTATGACATTGTCAGATCCCTGGGCGGCCAAATACCAGCGGCAGCACCCTGTCATTGCTGCATACAGGATCATTTTCCACTCACCCACCATCAGAGCGGTTCACTGACTCTGCTCAACATCCAGCCAATGTACTTCCATCATTTCAACCTCCACACCCACGACCCTCAGGCATGGACCGGCGTCTGGAATCTGATGAATCAGATACTTGTACCATTGTTGGTACCCCAGCTCAGGTATCTCCACACCCTTCTACATCTACTTGAAACCGCTCACTGCGAGTAAATATGCTGAATTCTGACCATTGAGCTCCCAACCATGATTCCTCAAATATGGTCCAACATCAGATCCTTTGAACATGGTTGTTGAAGGAGAAAACTGATTCAACCCAGAATCCAGACATCAAATCACCTCAGGGCTCCAAAGCAACGTCCTGGTCTTTGACAATTCAAGTCAATGCATGATATACACATCTCAGCTAGGGGCACAGGTACAGCCGCACCGGAAGCCATACCGGCCACCCCCTCAATTCTAGCAATGCCGACCGCTGGGGCAGTGTGTTTGAAACATTCAAAGTTGAAGGAAATGGTGCCCAAGGCAAGTGGACTGCTTCTCTTGCCTGAGTACTCCACTTTGGCTGATCTTCTCTTGGTTAGAGGTAGAGGTGCACGCAGTGGATCACCCCAACAATGTGCTCTCCCGTTTCTGGATTGAGTAGAATCAACTGCACGCAATAAACCAGAGGCTGGTAGCAGCGGCTCAAAAGACACTTCACCCAGCCTTTCTCCAAACCAACACTTAATACACTCGGACAAGTACAGCTCTTCTTCCAACTCAAGCTTTGGGTCAATTTTGAACGCTCATACCACGTTGTCATCAGCCTTCACCTCATTGAGCGTGTCCAACATGAGCTCTAAACAACGTTATTCGGACAGTACATCTAGCACCAGTAGTCTAGTTCTATCAGAGGCATCCGCTACAAGTCTACTTCAGCCCATCACACCGGGCCGTATCCAATCTTAACATAGTGATCACCGCTAACAATACATCACTTCTTGAGACTGGTGGAGGGACCACAATGCAGTATGTGTATGACCCTCAGAGATGCCGGTTTGTAGGGCAACATACCATACCATCAGTCCCTTTCTTCCCAATTCTCCTATCCCTGCCCAAAACCCTTCATCTGGAGTTGGAAAGAGTTTCACGCACAATGGTATTTGACATGCTGTTCAATGGCAACCTCACACTTCTGCAGGTGCATATTGCAATCCAGTGGAAGGAAGTGGAGATTTGAAAGCTCCAATCATCTTAGAAGAGTTGAAGATGAAGAAAAAGTTGGCTGTTGTATTATCACCTATCTCTACGGGTGGTTCAACTAATTTTACCAAAGTCAAAGTTATACATGCAAGCTCCGGAGTGAATGTACAAGTACCAACTTCGATAGGACTAGCCGGATTAAAGGAAAAGGTACAGAGCAAATTGGGAGATGAAGCAGAAGTGTGTTTACCACCTAGATGGGAACTTTGGGTACCTTCACTGTGTCCTTGTGGGATTTGACTGATGACAAGCGCACACGGACTGCCTTTGAGGCCCAAAGGAACTCGTGTGCACTTGTCGACTAGTGAACACCACACAGACATGGTGCTTCATCTGGGAAAAAAGGGTCAAGTCAAAGAGTATGTTCTGATCCTGATTTAGGTAAATTGTTATGGAATGGTGCTTCTAGTTCATTGGGTAAGATTACCTTGAAACTTGTTTAAATAAAATCAAAATTTGGAAATAAATTACATTTTCTTTTCTTTTGTTTTGTTTTGTGATCTTACAGCCAATCCGATATTGCTTGTCGCACCCTTTTGAAAAGAAAAAGTTTGTGAGCTCGAAACCTAAGTTTTAACCACTTAAAACCTGAATTTTGGCTGTATGGCCTTAAATTACAGCTGAGTTTGAAGTTTTATCGAGTAAAAACTTAGGTTTCAACTTTTTCATTTTCAAAACGGAGCGACAAGCAATTAGGGTGTTCAAACCTCAAAATCAATTCATGCAAGTTTTGTGCAAGTTCTGTGCAAGATATGAATAGAACTTGCACGGATCTTGCACAAAACTTGCAAGAGTCGGTCTCGCACGGTTTGGAACACAATAACTCGGGTTGTCAAAAAAATTACTGTGCAAGATTAGTGCAAAAAATCTTGCACGGATCTTGCACGTCGGTCTTGCACATTTCTTGCACAGGTTTGAACACCCTAAATATCGGAATGGCTGTATGTTTTTTTGATGATTTATCTTCCTTTGTGGTCTTTGTGACATTCATTTTCTTGTTCATTTTCAAATCTCTACATTCTTAGTTTCTTTTTTGTCAGTCTTTTTCTTTTTCTTGATTGATTAAAGTGTTTATTAGATAAATGTTATTAGATTGTTGGGGCACTCTCTCTTTGTTTCAGTTCATCCATATGAGGGAAAAGGTTGATAAGTTTGAAAACGGTTTTATTTGATATGATTTGTGGGCGATTGAGTTTAACCAAGACATTTGTATATATATATATATATTTACCAAAAAAACAGTCTATCAGTTTGATTTATTTGATTTGTCCTTTATATACGATTTTGATCTTTTTCTTTTTTTGAAGAAAAGATGATTTTTAGCTTCAAAGGATGAGTTAAGCAATATTGCTCAGTTTCGGCAATATTTTCAGAAAAAGATGAATGTGTTTGTTTTGTTTCTTCTCTTTTAAATGTGTTACCAAATGATTAAACTTGACAAAAATCATTCATCTTTACATCTCACACGACGTGATCTCAAGAGGAACCCAAGATATTATGATCCACTTCAAAGTGACTTTGTAGCTTGATTCATTTTGTTACAATTGTTATGTCTACACAATAAAATTGAGTTAATCGAGGGTCGTCCAAGCCAGGTCCCTCAAATCCTAAAAGCCTCCACAGGTTCTCAATATGTATGTTGGAAATGTGTGCATTCTGTCAATGTGATTCATTGAGCATATGGGGGGCTTGCCCGCCTGAGGTCTAGTACGTATGTACATGTGTCAGAAATGCACCTGGAGAACTGTTTGCTGTCTCTACAAAGGATCATCACAGTCATCACGCGTTCCGATAAATTAGGATAAATTACTCGGGCTCGACGTGACTCGGAACAGCTCGGAACAGTTCGGGAAACGTAATCGACCTAGAATCGACACTGGACACATGTGTGGGAGGAGAATTAGAGCGGAAGAATAGTCAAAAGGATTGATGTGTTTTTAAATTGAGATTGGGTATGGTGATTCGTGAATGTGCTGTGCTGAGCTTGTCGCTTCTCAATTTAGATGAAGAAGACTGTACATATGGGTTATGAACTTCTGGTGATTAGCTAAGTATGGCTTGAGCCAGTCTTTTGATTTCGCCCTTCGAAATCTTCAGTACCCTTCTTGAATCAGAATAGCATTAGTTCCCCTTTTTAAAGTCTTTCATTCGATTAGTTCAACTTCACCTTCAACATTCATATCTCCTTAATCAAATCAAATCAACCAATCGATATTCATCATGAGTTGGTAAGCTACTTCATCACTTCACTTGTCTTCTTTCATCATCAATCGGAATTTCTTTATGATTCTCTAACCTCCACGTCCTCGTGTCTCATATAGGTCAGGGTAAGTAAACAAATCTAATCTGTTTCAGATACCCTGTACTCGGATTCGATCAACTTATGACCTCATCATATCTCCCTTGACTTTAACGAACGATCAATAGATTCAAAAAATCCGTTAATCGGGCTGGAACCACGTTAATGCAAAAGACGGGACAAGTTGAACGAACCAATGATCGAGAATTCCAAGAACATGAAGCAAAGTTCAAAACGTGAGCTTCGTTTTGAAACGCATTTCTTTTCTCATCACAAAGGAAAGGACGAGTGCTGATCATTGGATTTGTGGATTTGGTGAGGTATCATTAGAATGGAAAAGAATGCTATCGCACTTCAAAAGGAAGCTAAAGCATACTTGGACTCCATGCGAGGTGAGGGATCGATCATGAGCAACTTACATCCTTTAGATTCTCATTGGTTCAACTTTCTGTTGATCATTAAAATTGTATGATAGCCATGACTAGCGCTCAAACTAGAGTAGGAGAAACGATTGACAATTTTTATGGAGATTCATCTGATACATCTATTGCTGCCAACTCATACAAACGAGCGGTGGATGAACTGGATCAAATTGCGATTAAAGAACTGGTTAGTCATCTTCAGATCATCTTGACAGTCACAATCAAGATGACAAGTCTCTGATCGATGGTGATGGTGGTTTTTAGGATACGCCTTATCGGTCAACGGTCCTTGAACCTATCGGTCGATTCTGTGCTTATTTCCCTGAGATCAATAACACATTACAGAAACGACACAAAAAGGTGATTTTGTTTTTGACATTCTTCTACATATGTACAATTAACTTTCAACTCAACTCATCACTTTTCTTATGTTTTTATAATCCGATGTTTTTTTTATTTATTCAGTTACTCGATTATGATGCAGCTCGTACAAAAGTAAGAAAACTAGCCGAAAAACCATCAGAAGATCCAAATAAATTGATTCGAGCCGAAAAAGAATGTGAAGATTCAAAACATGTGTTTGAATTATATAACGAAGCATTAAATCGAGAATTACCAGAGTTTGTAGATTTAAGAATCCCATATTTAGATCCATGTTTTGAATCGATGGTCAGATTACAACTTAGATTTCATGAATCAGGTTATGAGATGTTAGGTGGAGTTCAACGTTATTTTAATGAATCGGTTAGAGATGATTATGCTAATGGACAATTAGATAGTCAAGTTGAAACTGCTTTACAAGAGATGAGAGAATTATCAATTTGTGGAATGGTTTAAACTTAAGCATCATCATTTTTATCATTTGATTGGTTTTATTTTTTTATAAAATTATGTATGAGAATTGGATTAAGAAGTTGTGTGGATTGTGTTGATGTATGTATTCTTGTTGTTTATTGAAAATGTTGATTTGGATTTATTGGTTGAGTCGATGTCTTTGAGGAAATCCAAGTGAGGATTGTTGGGCTCTTGAATCATTGGTAGAGAGTGGCGTGTGAGAGTTATGGAATGAAGATGTATGCGTATGAAGGTCATTGGTGTATAGGTTTCAGTTGCTGTACACCACTTGGAGATGGTGTTGACCGATGAGATTCAGAGTCTTGAGTCATACATTCTGTTGTATCATACCACCTTCTCAAAACCAATCCCACAACAAACTCAGCAAGATGGCTTGTAGCTTCAATCAATCGATCGCTTTACCATCAAGACTAAATCGAATTCGGTCACCAATCGCTTCTCATACAAGCTTCAATCTCAACAAATCACATCCTATTCTAAGAAGGTTATATTCAGAAAAACCACAAGAAAACCATTCATCAACCTCCAAAAGCTCTGGAAGTGGATTTAAACAATTCCTAAATGATCTTAGCTTGGGTTATAGTTTACCAATTAGTTTTGTAATTGGCATTGGTTTGTATGGTTATCTTCAATCACAATTACCTGAAAGTTCAGAACATCAAGGATCGAATCGAAAACCATCATCATCTAAAGAACCATTACCACCTTTAATCGAATTATCAAATTTAGATGATATACCTATGATAGGTAAGACCAAGATTTATAAAGATTTATCTTTGTTTCTTTCTTTGGTCAACACCTTGAGGGGTCTTTTTTGATTCTAACTATCGATTTGTGTTTGTTTTTTTTGGTTTGTTTGCTACATATATAGATCCAGATACTCAAATCGAATTTTCAAAGAAATTAGAATCAAATGAAAATAATGGTCAAGAACCATTAAGATTAATCGGATTAGGAGTTCGTACGGTATCTTTCTTAGGTGTTAGAGTTTATTCTGCTGGGTTTTATGTAGATCCACGTGTACTGAGAGCATTAAGAGTGGTACCAGGTTGGAATGTAAGTCTTTAAACTCATTTAATTGAAATCCATTTGGTCTTTAAAGTTTAAATACTGATTGACGTTTATGATTGGTTTAGGAAGATGTGACAAAAGAGAAATTACTTTCGATAGAGACTGATTCTAAAAGTATCACTTTACCTACTAGTACTACTTCACCTATTGATGAAAAATCAACATCTGTTATTGAGAAACCTATCTCGGGGGAAAGTATGATGCGGAATTTGATTACTGTACCAGTCCAATTTGCTATTCAAATCGGTATGTTTTTCCATCCCCAATCATGTAGAAAGAGGAATGAAGAAAATCCAACGGATTATAAAATCTTTGTTTGTTTTCTTTTGATTTAGCACCTGCTCGATCTACAGATTTCACACGTTAGCTTTCTCTCTCTTCTCTCTCTTTTTGATTAAGTTCTTCACTTCAATCAACTTGTCTCAATTCTTTTGAACTTATTTTTTCTTTTGTCTATGGAAAACCGATTTAGATTTGAGAGATGGATTTTGTAGATCATTAACCGCACGTGTTACTCATGCTACTAAAAAAGGTTTACTAACCGATTTTGAAGCAGAGGTAAGTTTTCAATCTTTTTTAAAAAGACAAACCAACAAACAAGGATACACAATTGATCTCAAGTTTGATTTTGTTTGATCATTGTATAGCGTGCATCTGAATCTATTAACCAATTTAGATCATTTTTCCCTGCTGGTGTTTCGGTTCCTAAAGGAAAAACTATTTTACTTAGAAAAACTTCAAGTGGTAGTTTATCACTTGAATATGGTGTAAGTTGTAAAAAGAAATCCTTTTTGATTTGATCCAATATCTTATCTATATTGATCTTGTGATTGTTTTTTTGGGGGAATCAATTAGGGTAAAAGATTAGGACAAGTTGAAGATCCTTTGATTGCTCGTGAATTATTCTTAGCATATTTTTCTGATGTAGATCCAATTAGTCCAAAAGTAAGTCGCTATTTCTTTACTTCTGTTTGATTTGTTGAACTACTAATTTACTTTATTTTGATTGAATCGTCTTCATAGTTCAAGGAATCTGTGGCTGAAGGATTTGAGAAGATGTATAAATGATCGGAAATGAGGGATCATTGGAGTTCTCATTGATAGAACCCTGATGGGTTTCTTAAAACTGGAAGGGAGAATGAAGGAAGTTGGGGCAAGGTGGTAATATAATTTGAAATTAGGAACTCTTGATCCAAGATCTTATTGACAACTTGGCCGCCATCTTTCAAAGATCAATGTATATCTTCTTACCATAATTGATCTTTGAAAATCGGAATGAAATGATGGACCACAAACAAAGAAAGATGCCTTGAATTCAATCAATGCATCTTTGGCACTGCATGGATATTGCTCTGGGCTGCGACGAACACCTCGGTTATTGTAGTCTGAGTCATTTGATTGGAGGTGCTGCAGAAACATCGAAGGTATCGTAATTATTCGTTGGCGTGTGTTGAGGGGTTGGCTGAAGTTGCTCGTCAGAATGGGCCAGTCGACGTCGTGAGGGTGCCCTCGGAATCCTGACTTTCTTCATTGGTATCTGTAGTTTGATTGACTTTTGTTTCATTTTGCTGAGTAAGCACTTCGTAATCAATTTTTGAGTCTTTTATGAGTCAATTTTGCTCCTGACCGCCTCAAATTAGATTGGTTGAGAGGTTTTTTGGGGATCATGTGGTGTGCTATTCCACGTCGCAATCTGGTTGTGATCCACATCCTTACGATATGAGCACCACATCAGAACCACGTGAAGCGTCCTGTGGATCTCATGTGTCAAATGGCTCAAAACTACGACGTGTATGTAACTCCTCCACCAATCCTCTCGTGGATGCCACCTCCCCCACCATAGGAGCTTTTAGCGACGTGGGCCCCATGCATATAGCTCCGTGGGGTAAACACGAGAAGTCAAACATCCAACACTTTGATTCTAACAGCAATATTTGTAAACATCCATCTTCGCTAACAACAACTACAGTTTGCTTCACAACATTACATTTAACACTTATACTAACAACAATATTCGTAAGCATTCTAACCATCTTCGCTAACAACAACTACAGTTTCCTTCGCAACATTTGATAAAACAATTGCCCCCCAAGCATTCCATGACGGAAGTTGTGCACCCATCTTCTCCGGAAGCGCGTTCTGAAAATCAGTACCATGTCGAGGTTAAGAGAAACAGGCTGTATTTTGATCCCGAGGGACGAGGAGAATCAGGCTGTGCCGAGAAAGAAAATCCAATATCGACACCGCTCAAACTCGGAGCACTGATATCCGTCTGGTACACAATTTGGGCTATAAAGTGAGTCGAGCTGTTTCGCCATACCCATCACGACATTACCTCTAACCGGCGATTTCATACCTCTTTGTACATAGGGTTTTTAACACATTCAAATCAATTTGTTCCTTGTGGTATCATAGCATCAATTTATCAAGATGTTAGAATCACATACACATATATATTACTTTTTACTTTTATTTAGCCTGGCTTTGCAATCCCAGGCCCAAACTGTTGGGCCTACTGTAATCACTTTGAAGGACAAGCCTACTCATGAAATCCCTAAGCTTTATGGTATGATGTATGAGGATATCAACGTTGGTCATCCTTCAATTAAAACAGTAGCTTCAAGTTTCACTCTGTTCACCAAGCTTGTTAAATTGATTCCTGTTTCCAATCTTTAACAGCACTCAGGAGATGGTGGTTACTATGCGGAAATGCTTCGTAATCGAGCTCTCCAAAGGAAAAATATCACAAATCAACAGGATGCCTTAGAGGCTTGGAGTTCTATTGGAAATATCAAGCTTTCGGCTGTAGATCTATCCAAATCTCTTCCACTTTCTGAGGCTTTACCAAACGCTTTAGAGGTTACCGTACCAGCTGGCCAAGAAGGAGCCATTGTGAATTCGGGTTATTGGGGTAATTTTCAATTTCTATCTTTGACATGCAGACTAGCGGATCCGACCCAAATCATTCATTTGAACTGACGGTTTTTTAATCCATGTTGGGTACACATGTTTATCAGGTATGAAAGTTGACAAATCTTGGACTTATACCGCCTCATTCTATGCCAAGACAGCAACTAAAGGTATCAGATGTGGTCCTAAAACTACCGTCCGATTAATGAGTGTTGCTCAACCTGCAAGAGTTTTAGCGAAACAAACAGTAAGACCATCATGTCTTACTGATAAATGGCAACGATTTGAAGTTCAATTAAATCCGAAACATTCCGGTATCGACGCAAATAACGCATTCACCATCACATTTGTTTCGGACTCCACGAATGATGAAGTGATTCATATCACTCTAGCAAGTTTATTTCCGCCCACTTTCAAAAATCGTCCTAATGGTGTCAGGATTGATTTGGCAGAGGTGAGTTGATCATCTAGAAAGGAACACATTGTAATTTGTTTTGACTATGATGAATGTTTTTTTTTCAAAAATAGGCCACAGCTGCTCTTAAACAGACTTTCTTTCGATGGGGCGGGTAAGTGTTTTTTTTCGGACAGCTTCAATCATAGATCTGATGAATTTGAACACCTTAGCAATAATATTGAAGGTTATAGTCCAGATGACAGATGGAAATGGTATGAAACTGTTGGCCCATTGACTGAACGACCTGGACGTGTAAGTCTATAAAGTAACTCAACTATGAAAGACGAGAGCTAATTTTTGAAAACATGTTTTCTGTGATTCAGAAAGGAAACTGGGGTTATACCAACACAGATGGTAATTCTTTGACTTTTTAATCTTATTGCACATACACCGTTTCAACCATCAATGAAATTTCTGGTGCTTAAAATTGATAACCTAAACAGGTTTTGGATTGTTCGAAGTCTTGCAATTCGTCGAAGACTTGAACATGGAATTCATTGCATCAGTATGGTGGGTCACAATCACTGATCCAATCGCATCTAACTCGAATCAGGCATATCCATCATTGATAACATCTCACCCGTGTTTGTGCTCTTCTTTTTACCATCAGGTCTGGTCTAAATTTATCGCCATTCAGGGCTGTACCCGAGTCAGAAATAGATAAGTACATACAAGAAGGTGTGGATATGGTAAGCTCTTGACCCCCGACACAACATATCAATCTTTGGAATGCTGATATACTTTACTCCGATGATTAGCTCAATTTCATTGTGGGACCTGTTTCAACAAAACAAGGTGCTCTTCGCGCCTCTCTAGGTCACCCCAAGCCTTTTAACGTAAGATTTGTGGAAGTTGGAAACGAAGATTTCTTTGACTCTAACACGTATGTTATACCTTTGATCCAAAATCAACTGAAAGTGAATGAAAATCACAATTTCTAACTTTTGGTTGTATGTTGTGATTGGAAATCTATCATAGCTATACATACCGATGGAAACATATTGCACCAGTTCTTATGAAACAATTTCCTCAACTTAAGTTTGTTGCCACCACTTTACCAAATCAACCAGAACTTTCACCAGCACCATTTGGTTGGGATATCCATAGCTACAATACAGCGGAATGGTATGGTAAGTCTTATGTCCAATCACATTAAGCTTTGATAAACTCAAGATACTTCAGCAGACTTAAAGTCATGAGATTTAGCTTATTTGTTTATTGTTTCATGATCAGTTCAACATACTCAAGACTACGATTCTTTTCCACGAAATGGACCCAAGATATTTCAACTCGAGGTGAGTTCAGAGCTTATGGAAGAGATATTCAGATGATTGAATACCAAATCAAATATTCCTGTAGTTTGCTTCCAATGGGCCTAAAGTTGGGCAAGGACCGAAGAGCCCAACGCTACATAGAAGGTGCAGTGGCTGAGGCAGCCTATATGACAGGATTTGAGAGAAGTGAGCTGCAACTTTCACCGCGCTTTCATATGCCTGCAATATTGACACATCTTTACTTTCGATTTCAGACTCTGACATAGTCGAAGGTTTGTATTAATTGTGGTTATGTTTCACAAGAACCTTGATAAGTCGTCTAAAGTGGTGATGTCTATGTTATCAGGTATTGCCTATGCTCCTACTCTCTGCAATATACAGGTTCCTGAAGCATCACAATGGGTGAGTCGGATTCATCTTGAAGTCATCCACATATATTTGACGTAACTGATCAAACTCTTTTTTGGTTTTCAATCATTCTAAGCACCCCAATTTGATTGATTTTGAGTACGTTGATGGATAATCAACTTTTCTGCTTACCTTTCCTTGACCACACTTGAAAGAAATCGGCAAACAAGACCTGATTGTGAGATATTATGATTCATTTTACTTTCTTAGTGTTCTTGGTGTTTACCCAACAGCTTCGTATTATGTTCAACAAGTCAGTTTATTTTACCTCCTTCAAGTTCCGATATGAGATATTGATTCCTCCAATTTATTTTTTGAAATTATAGATGTTTGCCACATATCTAGGAGATAAATATTTACCTTCCAATTTACCTTCAAAGATTGATAAACTGAGTTGGTCAGCTACAGTGTCAACCTCTGATGGTACAGTATTTGTGAAGGTAGGTTCTAGTAGTTTACTTTTCTCGATTTGATTTGGATCACATATAACTTAACTTCCTTTTTCTCTCTTACTTTTCCTAGTTAGCAAACGCAGATGAATCGGATCGAAAGGTATCCATTGAATTGCCTTTCAATACTGAAAATCAAATCACTACTTTAACGTTAGAAAAATTAGGAAATTCTATAAGTGTGCCTGTTAAAAAACAAGTTCCAGTTCAATCAAATTCAATCTCAATCTCATCATCATCTCAAAGTGTTACTGTGATGATCATTCCAAGATCAAGATAAAAACGAATTGTATCATGTGAAATATCTAAGTTTTCAAATGTATTTGATTTTGTAAAACAATTTACTATGTATGAATGACATTTTTTGCATACACGGACTTTGAAATGATAAACTGGAGAGTCAACCTTTTAATTACAGATCCTCAAAATGGCATGGCTCTAGATGTCACTTCAACACCTTGACTCCATGCCAGGTCTCAAAATCTGGTTGGAAATCCTCCTGATTGGTCAAACATTTGATATATCCGGAATTTGTCTCTTTGGTTTTTAGATACCATGTATCTTGGTTGTACGCGTAACGGCCACAGAGGCAGCTTTTTTAATTAATCTAACTAAGAAAGACTTGAAGAATCAGACTGAACTACATGATAAGAAGATCTGTGAAAAAGGCGGAATTCTGTGGGCGGCCTACATAACATGTTCTGACCCTTTACAATATTAAAGACAATTTTACTAATAAATATATTTGAGATTAAATTAAAAAAGATAACAAATAAGTTTGTGAACGTATCAATAAACATAACAGTAGTAACAATAATAGACTAGCCAGGGTGGGAGGGAGGTAAATGAAATTCAGATGAAAACAAATGTTTTATCGAAAAACTTTTTCAGGATAATGACTTGGATGTAAAATTTTATAAATTATGATAATATGAATTTTCTAGACAAGGATGACAACGTGAGGATTTTTAGGGAAATCATACTTGACTCATCCTAGATCCTATCCTTTACAGATTAGAAGAGTTATCTGATCCTTTGAGATGATCAGCTCTGTCTAGTAGTCTGATAGGAATGGAGGAGAGTTGTCCACCCGTCTACATTATCCGAAAAACCCTTTCCCCGACCTATTCCCGTATGTCAATATGAGTACCGACTTCCAGGAATTTGTCTCTTTGGTTTTTAGATACCATGTATCTTGGTTGTACGCGTAACGGCCACAGAGGCAGCTTTTTTAATTAATCTAACTAAGAAAGACTTGAAGAATCAGACTGAACTACATGATAAGAAGATCTGTGAAAAAGGCGGAATTCAACCACCCTCGTAGGTAATAGAGTAGTGATGTAAGAATCCTTTTTTCGAAAAGGTGATAGGTGTTGAACTTCGATATGCCTATTTTCCCAGTCATGCGTCGTATGTTCCCCTATGTTAGCCACCAGGCGTGTATAAAGACAAAAAATAGAATATTTTTTTGTACTAACTATTTTTTGGGAGATGTGGTTTCCACAACATGTCCGTGACAAAAAAGAGTTTGTTGTAGAATATTTTCTGGAAGAAAAGATTCCAGTGGTGAACAAAAAAGTGGTTTGACCCTGTGGAAGAGTCGCTTTTGTGTTAGCGTGCAATAAGAAAGTGTTAAGTCTCACTGAGACTTACTTAACGCTGCCCATGATTGAAGAATATCAATGGGGTTATCACTTCCTACTGGCCCACGGCTGTGGAGAGGAGGTGCAAGCAACGTCAGCGAACTGCATGGCTTTCAAAGAATAGTCTTGAAACTATTATTTGATGATCGTAAATTCAAGGATTTGACAAGGCTTGAATGCTCACGAGAACAGCTCCAGGGAATTCGATATGTTCTCCTATGGTAAAACCAGCTGCTTGAGCGAAGTGTTTAGTCTTGTGTAGGTTTAGGATCGGGTGAGTGCGAATATAAAGCTTGAATGCTTCGCTAGACCACCTGCCAATCGTTTGAATTGTTTCCATCTCCATCCCGCTTTGTGCATATGCTGTCGCACCGCCGGCTCTTAAAGAGTGACCTGATCTTTCTGAGCCAAAAATTTGTTGGAGTCGGTTTATGAACCAAGAGCGGGTTGGTTGTTTTCCATTCGCTCTGAGTAGCCATAGAGGGTGGTAGGGAAACTTCTTATCTCGAAAGTGAGTATAGTGAAGGATGATTCTAATTGGGCAAGTCTTGTCGTTTGGACGGCTACAGATGGAGACCGGGGTACCTTTGTATTTAGGGTCTCCCTTGTGATACGGGAGGTTGTAACATGCAACTGTGCCACAAATAGAAAAAACAAGGGATGACCGGCGGATAGACTTGCGTGAATTCCGTAAAGAGATTGCATCGGGTATCGTGAGCTCGCCTAGACGGTGTAAAGCCGAAAAGCCTAATGTGATGATGGTGTTGAAGAGGGCATCATCGAATGTTGAGTTAAAGAAAAAGGCCGTGGTTTCTACGTCTCTGATTGTGAAGGCGTTTGCTTGGACTGTTGGAACAGCTCTTGTCTTTTGGCATCCTTTAACTGACGCTTTGACTTTTGCTGATAGTCGAGCTTGCACCACGAAAGGGAACTTCTCCTGCATACAGTACACGATGCCGGTTAGGTATTTGTTGACTGTTTCAGGTTGAACTTCGCGAGAAATAACGGAAACGAAATGAGCTAGGTTAGTTTCGTCCGGCCATGGTCTTATAATGTGATCTTCGCAAAACTTTATAAATCGGTTGAATCCTGATTTATACTTTGCTTTCGTGGAAGGTTCTAGGTGATTTGAGATATCTCGTTGATTTAATTTTTCTCGTTCTTCAAAATTCAAATTTTTAGATGTGGGTTTTTGGGATTTTTTGATAGTGTTAGATTTTGGCATAGTAGGTGAAAGAAAAAGAAGAGACGGAAAGAAGGGTTTCCGAATCTATTAAATCAAGGATGGGAGGGAGCGGGTTTGAAAACCTCCTTGGAGGATTTCGGCGTTTGGTTGAAATGTTCGAAGTTGTAGGTGAGGCACTAAAGCTCGAGCGTAAGAGGTTTTTCCTTTTGAAAGAGCGTCTGCGACTTTGTTGTTTTCACGAGGTACATGTCTTACCTTTACGTCGATTTTTTGTTTTAGCATAAGAGAAACTATGTATTTGAAAAGTATCCTGCCGGAGGCCGTAGGCCGGTGAGAGCAGAAGAGATATGCAACAGATTCAGAGTCGGTAAAGATTACCACTTTTGAAGCTTCCAGGTTGACTGCCATTTGAACAGCTGACACAACTGCAAGAAGTTCTGCCCAGAAACTACAACGGGCTGGCGGCGGAATAGAGTAGTTCCAGGCACAACCGTTCGATGGTTGCCAAAATCCGAAACCAGTTGGGCAAGCATCGCAAAAGAACATGCAGTTCGCTTCGGAGAGGTTCCAGTGTAGAGAGCTTAGGATTTGACGACCTGGCCAAGCTTCTAGGGCATCCGCGAGCCAATTTAAATCCTCGACATTCAAACGGTTGAGAGGAATGTGAGCATGACGCATTGACTTCGCTGCAATTTCGTCCCAAGATGATTGTAGGGCCCAACGGCCCAAAGGGAAAATGTTGAGGCCCCAATTGGCCCAGCCAGTAATTTGTTGCCATTCTACTAAGGGGTGTGAAAGCTTTGAGGTGAAAGATCTCAAAGCAACAATGAGAGAAATATGTTTCCCTTCAGGAAGGGAGATAAGCATTTCTTCACAATTCACGGAATAGCCGATAATATCGAGGGTACTACCGAATATTTGTTTTTCCCAAGCCCAAGGTAGATTGATAAAATCGAAAATTTTTAGAAATTTGGCTTGATTTAAAGGAATTTTGTGACCTTTGAATTCGACAATGTCTGAAGCTAAGCCAATTCCCCAAGAATCGTCCATGTAGGCGTTGAGGTCGGTTATGTTGAATTCGAAATAAGCAATCCATAAGACTAAAGAGAAAAAAGCACACCATAATTTCGGAGAGCTTGAACAACCGAAGTTGACGTTTCTATCTGCGTGGAAAGCATTTCCAATTTTCACTATTTGTCGAAACTGCCATTGGCGTGAGACTGGTAAGTTTCGAAAGGCTGCATCAACATCTGATTTCCATAAGATGAATTTTTCTTTGCCGAAATAGTGAAAAAGAAGATATGGAACAAAGTAAGGGATGCTGTCTAAATCTATCTTGATGTCTTCTTTATTAATTAGATCATTTGGGGAAGGTTTACCAAAGGACATATTTGTACACATCCTTACCTTCCCGGAGGTAGGATTTGTCGCTAGACATAAAGGGGAAACTTTCATTCCTGGGAGAAGGGTGTAAAAGGGAGGAGAAAATCGGTTGAGTTTCAGTTCTTTGTCCCTTGTTTTGAAAAGCACTTCTTCTGCATCAGGACCAGAGGCGTGATTTTCGTTAAAAACGGTATCATCAGAAGGTTTGGCAGAGATTGGCCAGAAACCATCTGTGAGACCTAATAAGATTGAGTCAACGAAAGGTTTATTTGGATGATTTTTTAATAATAATTTTAAATTTTTTACATTAATTGAACAATTGATTTGAAAAAGATCAGGGCGCCTTTTGATAGCACACGCTGCAAGGGGGTCTTCAGAAAGAGGGGGCGCAGAAGGAAGAGGGTCGGCATAAATTGAAGATTCGACGGCTGCAGAGAAACCTTTGGACAGAGTGTCAATTTCTAAGCCACGAAGAAAAGTCCTAGCGTTCGGCTCATTTGTGAAAGAGGCTTCCTTGATGATGTTCAAAGCATCCATCTTTGTTACATACCCCGTGAACTCGCTCGCATTCATCGTCTGGAAGGGGACAAACACCCAAGTTCCAGTTATTGCAAGGCTGATCAGCCAGAGGTAAAGCTCTAGAGTCTCAGACCTTGTATGGCGGTTTGACTTGTCTACCTTTCTGTTTCTTCGACGAAGTCGTTTTAGAAGCACTTTTATTTGAGGAAGGTTGATATGAGGAGGGTGCTGCTTCGATAGCGAGACGGACTGGGTGAGGAGCAGGGATAGAGGACTTTCCGAGCTTGCTGGTACTGCTATAAAGGATACGATTATCAATTCCTTTAAGGGAATCGTGAGCATAGTCTCCCCAGACAAGGGTTGGACGAGCCGCGAACTCTTTTCGCATTTCCACGTCAAAATCTCTAGCATCTTCCCAATGGACTTTTGCCTGAAAAAGACCGGGAAGACCAAGGATGTAGCCGAAATATTTAATGATGGAAGGAGCCGCAGGAGGGAATGCAGCAATGTAGGCATGTCGAAGAACTGCAAGTAAATTTTGCCAATGGGTGTTGTCGACAATTTTTCTTGCAGGCGCTCCTTCCACATTTTTGAGGTCGCCGTCGGCATCGAGGCGGAGGCGGCTTTGAGGAGGATCTGAGGAAGCCACAGCACCGTAGAATTTCCGGAGATCAACGAAATTATATTCGAGAAGATCTTTGGTGAGTGAATTTTGCCAATTTGCAGGTCTGTTTTTACATGAATTAAAACGGGCCACGTGGGTTTTAATGTCAGACTTGTATAATAAGACAATTTTGTTGATGTGTCCGGAAAGAGGAGTAAAGACTTCAGGCTTGAGGTGTTTGTTCTCATCCAAGTATGGAGCGGAAATGACATCGCCCAAGATACTGGGATCAGAGAAGATTTGGCCAGAGACAGCTGGAGCTGATCCAGAGACAGCTGGTGCTGAACCAGAGGCAGCTGGAGCTGATGAAGGTAAAACCGGATTTGGAAAGAGAGGTTCGATAGAAGAGCTGGAGGAAGGAGAGGAGGGAAAAGGAGTCCTTTTTCGCTTCCCCTTGTCCAATCTAGAAGAGGGAAATTGGACAGTTCTAGGTAAAGGAGCCGGTCGTGAAAAAGAAGAACGACGTGGGTTCTTAACAAGTTTTGGGACCGGACTTTGACGAGGGCTCTTAGAAAAATTGATTCGGTCGAGTAAGGAGGGTCGAACGGGAACTTGGCCCACAGAAGCAAGGCTGATGCCTGGGGAAGCTTCTCTCTGAATAGGAGGCGAAGGAGGCGCAGGAGGGGGGTTCCTGTTGATGGCTGCACCCAAAGGACCTGCAGGGAACATGGAGACATCAACGATACCGGAGGTACCGACGGCAGAGGGAGTCGGAATAGGTCGATCCATAAAACCTTTAAGAGGAGCGAAGAGCTTGGTGTCAGGTGGATCCTCGAAGTTCTTGCCAAGAACCACAACAGGCATGGAGAGGGGTTCGAGGTTGGCGGGAAGGGAGGTTTGAATTGGGTAAGAAGGCCTTCCTGCCCTTTCGTCCAATTCGATGGCACATCGAGCGACGGCAGAGAAGTGCCAAACAAAGTCATAATCGGACGTTGGGATAATAGAAGCCACTTGGGTGCGAAGCTGGGCCATCGACGTGACCAAGCTGCCACCAGTGTTATCATAATTCTCGAGAATTTTGTCAATATCTTTAAAATTCTTTGTAGCGTTGAAAGAATCAGCGATCATAGTCGATGAAAGTTCTTATTTCAAAGATAGAAATAAATGAAATTCAGATGAAAACAAATGTTTTATCGAAAAACTTTTTCAGGATAATGACTTGGATGTAAAATTTTATAAATTATGATAATATGAATTTTCTAGACAAGGATGACAACGTGAGGATTTTTAGGGAAATCATACTTGACTCATCCTAGATCCTATCCTTTACAGATTAGAAGAGTTATCTGATCCTTTGAGATGATCAGCTCTGTCTAGTAGTCTGATAGGAATGGAGGAGAGTTGTCCACCCGTCTACATTATCCGAAAAACCCTTTCCCCGACCTATTCCCGTATGTCAATACAAGTACCGACTTCCAAGACTCAACCACCAGTGACGAGGCTGTACCATAAAATGGCTCCACCTTTCAATTACAGATCCAAATAACCCATAATGGCACAGCTCCAATATCTTTTCTTGAAGCCTCCAATCCATGTCAGGTGTTAAACTCAAGTTGGCAATCCTCCCAATTCACTTGATGCCTGATTTCCTTAACCACAATTTGACCACTCCATCAAGTATCATACAAGGCCACTCTGACTATCACACCCCTCCAAAATTCCCCCAAAACAAGGCAAAATCCTGCTTTATAGTTCTGTTGCCCTTCTCAAGCCAAAAAATCAACAAGAAAAATGGTCAACATAGAAATTTCAAATATTTCATAGTTAGTTCTTCCTCTCTATACCACTTCAATTATTTGCATGGTTTCACTGATTTTGTATTCCTCAAATATTGATTCAGCAAGCCGACCAATCAACAAATCAACACTGTGAGCTAGGCAATCCTAAATTGCAGCCACCAGGCTCTTCTGGATTGAATCATGGGGAGAAACAGGCAAGTTCTTAACTCTGTATAGAGCCACAATCCTTACGGTGTAATGTTTGTCTTGGTGTAGGTTATCTTCAAACACCCACTGCCACTTGGGTGTCCAGCTAAACACACCCAGTATTTCCCCCAGCATCAATCCATTCATTTTAACCCTCCCTACATCCCTCTGCCATATCAAATACCCCCTTCAAGGAGCCCTCTCTTAGGCTGTAGTCCAACCCCCAATGTTGGTTCTACCAGAACATAGGATTCTTTCATCACTCAGATCAACACTCACTTCAGCCCATTCATATTTGAAACCTCTTGATCATTGCAAAGCACCACCTCAGCCAGTTCTTCAACCTTTTACAGTAACTTATCCCCTGGCCCTCCCTCATACAGTTCATGGGGCTCTCTTTTGAAGAGACATTCCCCTGTAATGGACTCACATCTCTTTGACAAGAACAACAACAATGGTAAGTCATGTTTTTATATCTGAAAATCAAATCCTTGGCTGAAACTCTTGACCTTTTTTAAACCAACTTATGTCTTTGATGAGAACAACAAGAACAGTAATTGTCTCTTTGACAAGACCCACAACAATGGCAAGTCATTAATTGATCTGTTGAAACCAAATGACTCTATCTTTTGAAATCAATTCATTAGCTGATCCTGTTTATTTTTAGAACTACTTCTTGGCAATTTGGACATTGTTGTGCCTCCTGCTCAAGCCACCAAAAGCTTTCAAGCTCCTGATACCATCAGCTCAACTCCTGATGTATGTACACAATGAATCACAGAAAATTGATGTAAATTTCAATCTTTTTCAACTGTGTTTGAAGAATCAAGCCTGAGAAGCAAAATCAAGCCCCAGAGGCCCCTGTTTGAATACACACATATCCACCAAGCCAAAATACAACAACCAAGCTCCAAAATTACCTACCTATACCACCTTGCAACCAAATAACATGAGTTTTAGCAGCTGCAAATCACAGCTTTCTTCATCTTGCAACAAACAACTCCCTGGTGTTTCCAAAGCTCTCTGGCAGGCCTGGGTCAATGGAGGTCTTTCAATTGTGGTATCTATCCACTGTTCAAAGGGGTATAATAGTAAGGATAAAAAGACAATCAAAGTGTCTGGCTTCTTTGACAACACCTTTGAAGCTTTCATCAAATCCACCTTGACTGCACCTGCCACTTTGACTATGGGTTTCCCTATTATACTTGAGAACCCTTTGAAGACCAAGAATGCACACTGATCTCTTGCTAGAGCACTCAGGACTTTTGTGGTAGGAATTTTTGCAGAGACCCAAGACTCCAAGGGTTCTGATGGTGAAAAATCTGGTGCTTTGGATGGAGTATGTTTAATCTATTTCCATTTCTTTTGACTTGCATGTATTGCAGTGAAACTGACACAGCTATTGGTCAGTCTGAAATTCTTAGCTCAGGTAAACACAATCTGTAAATGTTGATACAAGGTCTTGAAAAGGACTTCAAGGCAGTTGAACACATCACCTGAATTCCAAACCCAAAAGATGTTAAACAATGTTTGATCATCAATTCATTGCACATGCACACTTTGACAAATGACTGGCTATGTTCTTCACTTTTTCTCATCCTCCTCTCAAACATCATGTCAGGTTGAGTTTGGTCAATTATAATTACCCTGATATGATCCCTTTCAGGTTGATGAAGTCTGTGGTGTGCATGAGGTGAATCCACTCATGAAGCACTTTGAGTTTTGCTGGATGATTGTCTGCAACTACAGTCAAACCTCTGAAATCTGGTGGGCTTGGTGGAAGCCTTTTGGACCGGATAGCAGAGGTTATCGGATTTTAGAGTCAAACTCCCTGCTAAAAACCCAGCTTGGTGGACCAAAATTTGACCGCATATCAGAGGTTATCGGATTTTCAAGGACCGGATTGCAGAGGTTTGACTGTACAAGCAAGAGAAGAATTCTCTCCTAAGTTTGAATTTTGCTAGGCTGAGGGATGCTATTCTTTGGTACACGGTGTGCCATCTTCAGATCATCCATGAGCTAACTAGTGACCTGGGAAGGCTCACACCTGTTCAATCCTCTTGCCTTCACAGAGCTACTGGACAGTCCAAGACATCAATACTGGTACCATACTTTCAACATCAACTAATTCTTGCAACTCTAGCCATTCTGGAAATACACAATTCCAACAAATCAGTGTCAGAAATGTGGTATGCAGTTGTGAAACAGGCAGTGGATCATACCTGACTTTTGCAGTGATCAGAAACCTGACAACACTGGGCTTGCAAGGTAAGATATGGTGAAGCAAAAATAACTCAACATAGCAGAATCAGAAACAAATAAACTTCATAAAGATCAACCTACTTTAACCTAATCCATATCTCTTCAAACTCACATCTCAAATTTACACACCAATATATAATACAAAAACTCCTATATAGCTATTCCTAAAAACCAGTCATGTACTTCCAACTGCAAAAAAAAAAGATTTGGCAAAAGAAAAACATTAAGGGTACACAAACCTACAAACCGACATGAAAACCCATGTAAAAAACCCGTGACAACCCATCTGAATTTTTGATTTTTTTGACGGGTTTTTTTTGATGGGTTGAAATTGGCCAAATCTGATCACCCGTTGGAAAAAATCATTACCCATGGACTCACCCCTTCCTCACCAACACCACACATCCAAATCAATTCACAAAATAATCTCATCTCCACACCAACTCTGCCTCCTTCAAATGTTACCCATTCTCCAGCGGGTTGGCAACGGCCAAGGGCCCATTATTGTGATCAAGGACATCAAGAGCAATCAAAATTGACTTGAATCAAGTACAATTTGGTTATTGTCAATGGAAGATATCCAAATTGTCTCATTTCTTGTCGTTTCTGTTTCTGAAGGCTTCAAAAAATTACCTTTGAATTTAAAAAGAAATCGAGATCAATCAAAATAAATTTAAAACGAGTACTATGTGATCATTGAGGATATCCAACTCGTCTCATTTCTCGCAGTTTCTCTTTCCGAAGGCTTCAAAGAAGTCTTTGAATTTAAAAAGAAATTGTGTGTGTTATGATGCTTTTTTTTATTACTTCAAAGATCTCTGTCCGTCTGTCTGACACGGGTTTGGTTCAAATTGTGCAATTTCAAGTCATTGAAATAAATCGATTCGATTTGAAAAGACATGTATTACACAAGCAATCAAGTTTTGAAGGAAAGGGTATTGGGTGGAGTTATGGCTAAGGTGGATGCAAGAAGAGAGAGGTGAAGTAGAACAAGAATTGACAGGAGTTGCTCGCGGCTGAGAGTTGCTACATCTTGGATGGGATGGGATGGGTTGGGTTGGGGCGCTCAAACCTTTCGAGGGCAACCCTTAAAAAAAACCCGTCAAAAAAATCAGAAATTCAGATGGGTTGTCACGGGTTTTTTACATGGGTTTTCATGTTGGGTTGTAGGTTTGTGTACCCTTATTGCAACCATGACATTAATTTTAGAAAAACCAAAAAAACTGGGTTGAAAAAAGAAAAATTACAAAAAAATATATATATATATAAATATCTTCATCATTCATCATCATATAGATAGAATGAAAAAAGGAAAAAAAAAAACAACTGAAAACTAAAAAAAATAAAGACAAAAACAAAATAGAGGTTTTTTTTTTCTTACTTATCAAAAATGTATTTAAAATTATCATAACAACAAAAGACATTCCATTAAATTCTACTCTTCTTCAAAGATAAAAAAAAATCGTCAATCATACAAAAAAAAAAGACACATGAGAAGAAAAAAAACACCCAAACACCCAAACAATCAGCCCTTGATTTGATTCTTATAAAATAAAGTCTTTAATCTAGATATGTAGGACATTATCAAAGAAAAAAGAACTTGTTAAACAAATCACCCAAAAACCACCCATCAGAGTCAAAAAAAAAAAACTTCATCTCAATTTCCCTGGCAAAAAACAAAACCCTCAGAAAAAAGGAGTCAAGAAAAAAAAAGGTACAACATGACAAATAAACAATAATGAGGATTGCGAAAAAGAAAAAAGAAAAAAAAAGAGAGAGAGAAGACGGATCGAGGGAGGGAGGTAGAAGGAGAAAAAAAGGAAAAAATCAAAAAAGAGACAAAGGAATATAACGAGAGAAAGATATGTGAGCAATATGCAAGAGATATAGATGACATGTCCTATGAGTGGTGGTGGTGGTGATGATCAAACAGAGCAAGAGTTGAAAGAGCTTCAAATAAAACACATGATTTCTTCCAGGACTTAGGCGACGCATGAACAGTTAGGCACGGGATCGGATTAGAGTAGGTGTGTTTGAGAGTAGTAACCCAAAGGGATGAAAGTAAAAATCAAAAATTCTACCCATCCCTTCCACAGGTTGAGATATACGAGCAGATGGAGAGGTTCATAGTAGCACGCTACACCCTTGAAACGAAAGTCAAACAAATTCTGCAAGGCTCGTGCTCAGGGAGACCAAAGCTCAGACAGAGGAACAGCAAAGAAGGTATGTTGAGTGCCCTAGGGCGAACGATGACAGATGAGGAAAGATGTTGAAGTGAGAGGTCGAGTTTTGCTACTTGTTCATACCAAACTTGAACAACAGATCATGAACATATTAAAGGTTGGGACACGTGTTTGTAGGAGATTGGAGTATTGAAAGGATAAAGGTGACAGATTGAGATCAGAAAGATAAGGTTTGACCACTAAAGAATAATACTCTGCAGATTTCGGGTGATGATGATACTAAGGAAGGAGACAGTTTCAATCAACTTGGTACTTTCCCCACCACAACATCAGAAAAGAATAGTAACTTACTCAGTCACTGAAGCCATCACAACCCTCATGAGCGAGGTGTCTGTTGCACATGTATACTGTTTGAGCCAAGGAAACGCAAAAGGTTAGGAAAAGCTAATTGGTAAGAACAAAAACCTAAAGCAGACTAACATGTGTATAGATTTCTTTTTTTGATGATCGGTTAAGACGAACAAATCGATCTTTGAAATATGACCGAGAAGCCTCGTAATCTGTATCATCCCCAACATAATCTGAGAGTAGAACCATCTAGATATATAAGCAGGCTACTCTTTGAGACAGATGTGATTGAGCAAGAAAGATGGATAGAGAGATACGAGATGCTTACCAGGAAAGTATCGAGAGATGGGTGAATAGAAAAGTTTTTGTTTGAATAGATCTGTCTTGTTAAGAACTAAATGATTGAAACAAACCAATTTCAGTTCAAGATGAACAACCAACCATGAAGGTAAACTGGAGACTTACACAAGATCATTGAAGTTTGAGTAAACCACTGTGAATTAGTAATCGTATCAAACAACATCAGAGCTTCCTGCATTTGATTTGCATCCCCATCTTCCAAAAGTGTTGCATCGTAACCGCTGATGGCGACTAGGAAAAGAACAGCTGTTACTCCTTCAAAACAATGGATCCACTTTTTTCTTTCACTTCGTTGACCTCCAACATCAAACATTCTAGAAAAAGATAAATGAATCAGTGAAGAACTCATCAGAGGCCATCTTTTTGATAAGCTTACCGATACTTGAGTTCAGAGACAGTGAATGTAGTTTCTGTGATACCAGTAGTTTTTCCTCGACAATAAAGTATGTCCTGATCCGTAGGAATGTAGTTTGGGTTAAACAATCGATCCAGGTCGGGAAAGAAGCTAAAAAGAGGATGATCAAGATTAGGATCGGTCCAGTAGATCACCCAAGAGGCCTCAAATGAAAATAAAACGTACTAATGCATACTATTGATTTTTTTTTAAATTTGGCAGTGGTAAAACAAAGGTCAGAGAGAGAGATACAAAGATGGTAAGGAGATGAGATGAAACCTTACTTTTCAGGCATTGCCCATTCGTGACCCAAGTCCATGGCTTTCCTTACACCACCATCAACCCAAAGTCGTTTTAATGGTTCAAGATACTGAGTTGGATAAGGTTGACCAGGATTTAGATCAGTGTAAGAGCTAAAAAGAGGCACACAATCCTATGTGGTAACGAATGGGTAGAGGAAAAAAGCAAAGGAAGCCTCGATTTAGTGATGAGATGATCTTGATGAGATGAATGGTCAAAGTAAACCAACGGACCATTAAAGTTTCATCTTCAAGTTCGATTTGTTCACGACTCATGACCTCTAAACAAACTTTCATCCCATCACAAACGTTGATAAAGACCTAGAAGTAAAGTAAAGTCAAGTGGAAGTGAAGTGAAATAGTTAGTTTTAAAATTTAATTTTTTTATCAAATCTAAGACAAAGCAGATGAATCAAGATTTAATTAACCTGTTGACGATATTCTTCTTTCTGTGTAGCAGTAAAACCACCTCGATTATGAACGATTTGCATTTGTTTAAGTACGGTTGTTTTACCTGACCTAATCCAACAGAAAAAGAAGAAAAAGAGATCAAAAGGATGAAAGAAGTGATCGATTTGATTGATTGACTAACTCTCCAGCACCTAATAATAAGATCTTCACTTCCTTAGCCATTCGTTTCTCATCTTCTTTTAATCGACGATCGATTGTCTTTGAGTTTTTAGAATGAGGATCACCTGCACTTGAAGTAGAGAAACAATTACCCATGATTGAGGTAATTGAGGTTGAAAGGTAGATAATTAAGAAATGTAAAGATTAACGAGCGAATGGAGATTGATGTGAAGTGAATTGGTTTGATGTGAATTGGTTTGAATTGATTTGATGAAGTGAAATGATGATAATTTATAATATATAAGTAAGTAAGTAGAGAGTCAATGAGTAATCTTCTAAAGTTGAGCTTGGATGTATAGAGTTAGTTAGGATCGATGAGTGTTAACCGATTAATGAGTTGATGGTTTGATTATGGATTAGATGATGATGAATTGTTGATCACTGAGTTTTGCTGAGTAAAGTAAGTTCAACCAATTATTGTAAAAGGTTGTAGATTGTGCCAAAAAGAAAGAAAAATAAAAAGAATTATTTAGCATTCATCAGATTCAATTTGAATTCAATTCCAATCCAATCCAATCCACCCAATCATCATAGAATCAAGTTGATTATGTATATGATATATGATGGTATATGATATATAAATGTGAGAAATTTAATCAATCAAATCTTCTTCTTTCGGATTAGATTATGAGCGATAGCCAAGAAATCTTGAAAGAAAAAAGAAAATACTTACCAAAACGATTGACAGTCAAAGACACAAAGTCTTGGAGTTTTAAATGAATGCGGATTGGTCGGAACTAGTGTAGTGTAGTGTAGTGTAGTGTAGTGTAGTGTAGTAGTAGCTGATGAAAAAACAAAGCTTGAGATGAGTTTTTCTTGATGGTGAGTTTCTAAAGAGTGATGAATTTGAGAAAAAGAAAGAATTCCAGTGGAGTGAATGCTTACACCATTCAATTTGAAAATCAAAGCACTGTTCAAGTTGAATTGTATGATGTATGTATTGTACTACTGAAACTTGAATTGATGGTTATACTTTATCTGAAGTTCAGTTTGAAGTTAACTACTATCTTTAAGCTATATCTGATTCGAATCGGTTTGAGAAGTTTTACAAAATCAAAAATCAAATCAAAAGTTGATGATGATGATGAAACTTTTTTTAGATTCAAAAAAATAAAAGACTTGATGGTCACCAATTCCAATGGCAGCAGTACTGTTAGACTCAGAGTGGTGTTTAAGCGTACTACAGTCAAACCGGAAAAGCTTGTCACAAATTCCCCGCCAAATTGCTCGAGTTTTGCGGGCAAAATCGGTCAAGCTTTTCCGATTTGACTGTATGTAGAATAACGAAGGATCTAAATTCAGATCAAATACAAAAACAACAACGACAACCTACCACCAAGCGTTAAAGAAGCAAGGCATTCGAAGCAGAAGAAGAAAAAGAAGAAGAATTAAATTCATTCATCCATTCAAATCCATCAGCAGTCATCCTACCAATCAGACAGCTGTGAGAGAATTTACTGGGAGTTTTGATGAGTTTAGTCCTGTCTCAACTTTTTTTTAGACGATCTCATCAAATTAGAACGAACACAGCACCATGTATCATAGCCCAATTGAACAAGAAACTCTTAATACCGGCCTGTGTGCTCACTGCTACAGTCTAACCCGCGCTAATGCATAATTTGGGGAGACTCACTTTCCTATGCAATTAGACGGGTTATGCTTTTTGACCTACACCCCCAAAATGCATAAAAATATGCATTTAGATTTTGGGGTGTATTGCATAGAATTATGCATTAGTACGGTTATTGTATTACCCCACCCATATGGGACAAGAGAGGGTGAAGGTGGGAAAACTTCAGTAAGAAAGTGTTTAATTTTGAGGACATTTGTTGTCTATTTAGTACGATATGTACAGAAAGAAACAAAAACAATTGTTTTCAAGAACATGCTTTATCAAGTACAATGTGTTACAAAAAACAGTCAACAAACAATAACTTTTGAGGACTTGTGCTTATTTGGTACGACATGTACAAAAAGAAAGAAATTGAAGTATTTTTGAAGGCTATCGATAATCAAGTGTTAGATATAGTCACACGTTGGAAGAAATCAGTTATTGCCACTTGTTTTTTGTTACCAAAAAACAGCTCGGACTCAAGCATCTCGGCATACTTCTGCAAAGAGTTGTCCAATTTGAGACCAGAAGCTGTACCAGTGCCCTCTATGTGAGCTAATTCCTTGTTTTCAGTAGCAGACATGATGAAAAAAGATGCAAATTGATCTAAGGGAGCCGAAGATCGTGTGAGGTGGGTGATATCACTTTGCTGATCATTCCAAAGCACAACTGCTGTTGCTTTTTGTCAGTATCACCACCACATCACTGGGTTTGACCTATGCAATACCGCTTCCAAGATATAATTTTTTTTGCTTTGACCCTATGCATCATGCAATATGCAATTAAAATCTTGTTTTGGCCCGCACCAGCGTGGTGGAGACCAAAACCTATGCATTTTGGCTGGATATGCATATGCGCAGGTATACAACAGCGCGGGTTAGACTGTATCTATTTATTTTAGCTTGAGCTTCGGTCAATCATTGACCAAATCGATCAAGAATTGGATTTGAGCAGTCCATAAATCAAATCGAATCATCATTTCATTCATTCATTCAAAAGCGATCCTCAAAAGAGAATTCTTCATGGACATCGACATCGTAGGCTTTCCATTCTAGAATCCTTAAAGCACGGACATTTGATCATTCCAACTCGCTCAACAATTTCACAAAGCCTTGAAGCTTGAACTATGTTGTATCAAAGGCTACAAATTTAAGTTTAGTCGATTTCTTGCTTTTGTAGATTTCTTTACAAACACTTCAGGAACATCTCTACTCACTCAACTCACTAAGGGTACTCAAAGCAAAGTATGTAGCGCTACATACTTTTCGCTACATACTTTTTTTGGCGGGGACAAAGAAAAAAAATATACTTTTGGCCTCGCCTTCCCCGCCAAAAAAAGTATATAGCAAAAAGTATGTACACGTACATACTTACTTTGAGTACCCTTACTCACTCCAGTTTGAAGATCTTCACAAGATCTTTCAATTCCGAATCTTGACATTTGTGTATGCACAACACAAACCTGGTGAGAATCTCAACTACAGTCGCCGCTCGATATAAGCACACATCGAGTTAGCATATTTCGCTATAAGGGTCAAATTTCAGTGAAACAAAAATGCGGGGGGCTTAATTGGAGCACTTTAGCATATAGGCTAAACGCATTTTTTTTCTGGAAATATGCTTACAAGGAACGAGAAAGTGTGGCTTTATAAGCATAAGTAACCACTCTCAAGTCATGTATGCTTATAAAGAGTGGCCTAGAAACATCTAGATTCCAGACAGGTGAGGAAAAAAACAGTAGGTATGCCAGTGGGACTCGAAAGAAATCAGTGGACCCAAATCCTGATAGCAATTCTGCTTGACTAAGACCCAGCCATCAAATTTTATCAAGTCGACCCTACACCACTTTTGTTTCAGCATTCTATCCTGCTCTACATCCTCAATCAAAATGTCTTCAATTGATAAGCAAATAGATGAACTCGTGGATGATCATGGACCCGACTGGAGAAAGCACATCACAGCCTTACACTCGCTTCGAAATGATGTTAGTACTGCCCGCTTCAAATTTGTGAATCAAAAATGTATCACCGACTTCTTTGCCCCAAGCCTATTCCATGAAGGTGAATAAAACCAGATGTCTTAAATGTTTGTGTCGTTGTCCTAGACATACACTCTTATGCTTTGTATGCCCTCTTATGCTTTGTATGCTTTTTTATTATCTATGATGTATCTATGCCAATTACAATAAAAATCATATGCAATTTTGACTTTGATGAAATAAGCATTAGGGTCAATTTCTTCCCAAATATGCTTTTATGCTTACTTCGAAGTGATGCATCGCTCCCTTTAAGCATCAGGTATTCTGCATTTAAAAGGTTGCTTATATCGAGCGGCGACTGTATACTTATCCGCTTGAACAAAATTTAAATCTCGATTTCAAGAAACTCTATCCCTTTCATGCAAGCAGTAAAGACTACAGTACATACATACTTAAAGTTGTAAAACACCCGGAAAGAATGGAAAGGTGGAAAGTAAAGATGAGATTTCGGATGGGTTTCAATGTGTATCTTACATCTCACATGATACGTGTTACGTGTGACATACACACATAGACACTTTTTTTAAAGGGACTTGGTTTTTTGATTTGTCCGATCAAAAGGGAGAAAAAAAAGTCAAGATTTAAAAGTACATCATCGGGGATAAAGTGACACAGACTTGAATGATTGTGAAAGGAGTTTGAATGGGGTTTTGGAATTCTTGAGGTCTTTAAAATAACAAAAAAGGTGAAAGGGGTAGGAATTGGATGAGGACTTTAAAAACGGAGAATAGAAATTGAGTGATTGGTAAACAAAATCAGAATTTTTACAGAGAAAGAAAGATAAGCCATTTTTTTTTCTGGGAAAGTGAAGGTAGGAAACAAGGATTTGATCCCGAGTTTGATCATTCTAAGATGAAGAAGTCAACGAAGTAGGTATGTAATTGTATAACTCACACGAAAAATGTTTTCTTGCATGAAACTTATTACTTGATGATTGAAGAAATCAAATTGAGCGAGACCAAGAAGTGTTTTTATTTTTGTTTTTGAACCAAGTTTATATTACCAACATCTTAGTATTACAAGGATACAAGATCAAGCGGATCACAACACAAGTACAATTATTTGAGGTTGAATGTTCAATGAGGAAGGCGAATGAAGAACATCTAATTAAGGAGAAAAGGGCAGAAAAGCAACCGATCTGAGACTCAGAGACTAGTCTACAAGAAAAATCTAGTGGGAAAACTTTCAAAGGAATATGTATATACTTTTGAAAGACCAATTGGACTCGGAGGAAGACTTGATCGATTTTAATTCATGATCATAGAGCAGAACTGATAGCTCCCTTTGACTTTTGAGCCATAGCAGCTAATCTTGCACAAGGATCA